CAAACAAGGGGTCTCTCAGCATATGTTGAGTTTTGAAGTTAAAAAGCCTTCATATGTCTTTTTTTATTTCTCCATCTTTATTAAATCTTTTTTATGTTGAGTCTTTTGAAGTTAAAAAAAACTCCTTCATATTCTTACTATTTTATTTATTTTCTTTTACTATTATTAATTCCATTTTTTTTCAAGACTGTGTGAGAGTTGATTTAGCACGCATCTCATTGGCGTTGTTATTTTTCCCATATCGGCTGTGACCTCAAGTTATTCCGCAAACTCTTTAATAAAAACACAAAATAACAACTTCACCTGAATTCATCTTATGTAAAGGTATAGTGGATTTGCTACTCTCTTTCGTATCTACGGTTCATCAATCGTTTGCCATTGGAAGAAAGGCGGCGAATTAGTGCATGAGCTACTCACAACGCTATTGGTATTCAACTGATCTATATAAATTCCATGAATTAACTGAACAAAAACGACTCACTCGCTCGCAATTCGTAATCGATATATGAATCTATCACTCCATGGCACCGAAAGTAAAGAACGGAGGGGAGGGCTAAATACTAGTAACATCTACGGTTAAGGTGGAGAGTGGTGGGCAGGGGAGTGAGTGAGAGAAATTGGGTCACTCAACGTTCGCGGGGGACAGACAGCGCGTGGACGTCGGCTCATGTTGAACATTGTTAGTGCACCGGGTCTCACGTGAAATAATCGGGCCGTCCTGACTCATGCGAGCCTCTTCATCCGGCGTCTACCCCTCCACGCCTTCCAACCACACTCGTTATCCTTTCACTCCTTAAATTGACTTCTACCACCCTACTTGGTCACCCCCAAACTACCAAAAATTATTCATGATCTATAATTCTTCAAAAACAAACTATCCATGCATTTCAATCTTATATGTTTTCCATACTATTCAACCAATATATATATTCTGACCCTCTATATACTCATATACCATAATATACTACTCTATATATACGTCACCTCACTACTAATACCTATAATATACCCCATATAATATCACTACACACTACTTTATGCTATACCCCTAACTAATATACTCTCGAGTCAACCAATAACACTTATATCTACTATCTACTACCGTCTTAAAATATCTATAATAGTATATATCTATATAATACATACAACACCCACGACCTTCCCTTTCCTCACATCCCTATCTCTCCCTCATTCCATCAGCCACAATCCTCCTTGCCTAATCTCTCTCCCTCATCTCAGGTTAGTCCATCCACCTAACATCCCTCACCCGCGCCACTCGCACCACCACGTCGCAATTATCAAGTTCACCTGGCTCTCCTATGATATCTTAACCCTATACCGCCTATGCGACCCCACTTGTAACGAGACACGAAGCAGGGGGGGGGAGGAGGAAGGGAGGAGGAGTGCACACCGCCTAAGAGGTCAGGGCCTCCCAAACCAACTTGCACGGATCACAAACAAGGCCACTATTCACAATGGGGGGGGTGAGGAGGGGGGGGCGAGGTTAGGCGCCACCACACTACACCCGACGCTCTAAGGCTCCATTAAGGCACACCACACGCCGAAAAGCCAATATGTACCTTCGTCTTCTTTCATCTTCTTCCACACATTCCACATTATATATTATCATACCCTATTTATACTATACTTACAGCTACCTATATACCTCTCTTACTACTTACCTCTATCCTATTTACCACCTATATACACCATCATCTAGTATACTTCCTACTCTTCCCCCTACGTTCTCCCCCAGCTATTCCGCCATCCACACAATCTCCCCACCTTAATCCCTCCTCCTCTCACCCTCCCCTCCTCCATCCTATCTACCTCGCCTCCTCGTCCCTCTGAAAATATCTCCTATTCCTCGCTCACATCGTTTCTTCCCTTCATATACCCCTTGTCTTTTCCTCCCTACACGTCCACTCCCTCCCCGTATCATCTCTCTCCTCTCTCCGCTCGCATCTCCATCTCTTCGTCTCTCGATCATCCTACACCCTCCCCTCTTACGCTCCATCTCTTGCACCCACCTTCCCCACTCACACTGCCACCCTCTTCTTCCTCCTCCTCTCCCTTCCTCTCCGTACATCACCTTTACGGCTCTCTCCCTCTCCTACGCCTGCCACCCTCTCCCGTCCACTTAATCCCCCTGTTTTCCACTCGATTTCTCCCCTCCCTCCACTCATTTTCCCTCCCACCCACCCTCTTTACACCGGTCTCACACCAGTTAAGGTGGGTCGCTGTGCAGTCGTCACACACTTCTGTACCCGAACAACCTCCGAGAACTTCCTGCTTGCTCCTCAATCTCTCTTATTTGCACGCACCTCTTATTCCCACACACGAAAAGGTGGAGCATGTTTGTGATAATGCAGAGTATTGCGTGCCCTGAAATCTTGTTTTCTTTTTTTTTTCTTGGACGGACGGGGGGGGGTTCGGCGAAGGCAGCTATGCCGAACAGCTTCGGAGGAGCGAAACTGAGGGAATTGGGGGATAATTGGAAGAGTGAACTACACGAGAAAGAGAACGGGAAAAAGATAGAATAATCAACAGAGAGCGGAGATAAAAAGTGGAGGACGAGGAGGAGGGGGAGGGGGAAGGAAGACAGTATGTATAAGAGGATGTTAAATGTGGATGTGAGTTTGATAGTAGAAAGAGCGAGACGAGATAAAGATGTGCCGAGAGAGATAGTATATCTATGCGGAGAGACGCTAAGGAGGGGGGGGAGCGAGGCCGGATGTCAAATGTATATAAGAGGACATACTAAAACGATAGCGAGTAAATTGAGAGTAGGGAAGCTTGATCGTGATCACTAGTTAGTTTTCTATCTAATTGCTCATCCATCAGTATATACAACCAATAACAAAGTGGATCCACATGTATAGGTCATAGGTCTAGTACTGATATTGAGTTGTATCTAGATGCATTTTTATCCATAAATATATGAGAAGAAAAAGCACAATCCGCATAGTTTAGATGTCATCTTGACTTATATCCTATCTCAGAGTTAATAGGTAGAGAAGTGTAAGGAGAAGAGAAAGAGCATCCTATAATGGTAGGAGTATCTATCGTGAGCATAAGGATATTTTACTAACTAACCGAGAATGCAGAGTAATATAGAAAGAGTACACTCTTGTAAGTATTTACTTTCTGATTATATCTATATTTGTCGCATATGACTATGCCTCGTACGATCGGGAGAGCTGAATGAAATGAGTAGAGTGAGAAAAACATCCATGGTCTACCTGCAATATGTCGATCTCGATCTCGCCGTAGGATATAGTTATGAAGTGAATAGAACAACCAGCCATAGGTGCCCGTATGCAGTTGATGGCTGAGTATAGAGTCAGGATCCCTAAGCACCGGCAAACGAATCAATGATAGGCAAGAAGGGAAGCGAAATGGACCGATGATAGCGAGTGAGTCTTTCTGATCTACTACGTGAGGCACGTCAACGGGTAGAAAATGAGGAGGAGACAAGCAAGAAGGAGAAAACCATCGATAAGGTGACAGATGGAGAGTTATAGGAAAGACGATGTGTCTAATCGTCATAGAGTAGGTAAGTATAATTATATATTAATCAACAATTAATATTATAATATATATCTATTATATATATATATAATACGAGGGAGGAGGAGGAGACAGGCAGGGAAGAGCGGACGAGAGGTATAAACATGATGCGCATACTAACTTTCTAAAGTCGCTATCTCCCTAAATAATAATAGGTAGTGGAAAAAGACTATATCTATAAAGAATTCTATCTTTCTATCTGATTTTCTTATCTAATCTAATCGCTCAACCTCAATAAGTATATCAAAATCGATGGACAACAAAAGCGCAGGCACCAACGACAGTTGGCCTGACGGAACAAGGGCAGGGGCGACGCCGCTCGCCAGCACTTGGCGAGAAGCAGCCCGAATGAACAAAGCACTTATTGCCCAATTATAAACGATTGAGCAAAGTCGACCATCGCTTCCGCGCTTTCTCCCTGCGTGATGTTTGTTAATTTTTTTATTATATATTGCGGTTCAATCTATATTCTTAATTTCTAACTCTAATATTCATTATCTTTAGTGCAGTGGATGATGGTTTTTATGACTACGATTACACACTTTTTTCTTTTTCATGAGTATTGGTTTATTATTTAATTCTTATGTTTGTTAGCTGCAGATTATTATAAAACTATATACCTATAATACTTAATCAGCGTATTTTATTAATAGAGACAGATATTCATGATATACTATGATAATGAGTAAATGATATAAGAAAATTGATTAGTAAGGATCCGCAGTTGAATAATTAAATAGATAGGGAAAAAGATTAATATAAATACGGTGCTGATATATGTATACTAAAGTGTATAGGATTACCTGTCAGTATATTAATATCCTTCGGTGCGAACATTTATGGATAATATTATTTCTTCCAATAAATGAGGTATTAATCTACAATCAATTAATAAAAGAACTAAGCTTGGTGTAAATTTGGTATTTTTTTTACTTGTACTGTATTTGGTTCATATAATTTGTTTTTTTGTTTTATTGTTAGAGCCAGAGAGAGAGATGAAGAATGAGAAGGTAACGTAGTAAATAAGTAAGTAAGAAATAGATAAAATAGTATGAGTAAAAGAGAGAGTAATAGTTAATGGGGTGGTTGTTGTGTTGTGTGGCTGAGGAGGATGGAGTGGTGGTGATGTGTGTGTGTGTGTGAGATAGTGTGGGTGGTGAGTGGGTAAGGACAGCGAACACGATACAGAGCAGAGCGAGACAGCACAACAGACAAAGCACAGGAGACAATGAGTTGTGAGTGGGAGTCGAGCGAGATACGGACGACCAACAAACACAACAGACAGACAACACACATACTTAATCAGCTAGGCACATGGAGTGCAACAGCACACACACAAAGCACACATACACGGTTTGGGGTGATGGAGTATAAAGGGGGTGTGTATAGTGGTGTTGATATGAGGTGGGTAGAGTGGAGTGTATGAAGTA